GTACATTAGCTTCCGGGAAGACGGATATAGACAATGAATGTAACTTATCGCGGAGTTGGAGAATCAACCCAACCAGACTGATATAACAGAAGATGATTAAGTTGAAGAGGATTGCCAGTGGAGACTATTCCGTATAATGGTTGATATCAATGTATATCTGCTGGAGAATATGGGTAGATATAGAGAAGCAGTTGTATACTAGGCATCTAGCAACGAAATGTGGAAACTGAGCCGAACAATGATGTTCCCTTGCACAGCGTCGCAGAAATACCATCTAAAATAGATAGCTGCCATGTAAAATGGGTCCCATACGGCAAATCTTGAATTTTTCTTGTCATTCGTAAAATCGCATGTGTATGTGAGTCAATGCTGTATTGACCCTCTTCCCACAGTCGCGACTCACAGTTCATCAAGATGGACGTAGCAGAGAACATGAATTGTCTTTATTAACGTTGCAATTTCTTCCTCTTCTTTTTCGTTCTTCATACAAGTTTTATTTGTTGTCATTAAGATTCGAGCCATCGCGACATTTTAACTTACAATAGGAGCCATTAAGACCGCCCTCAAGTGTCACGATACACAACAGTGACGGTAAACGAGCAAACCTCATGAATCTGAGCAATGAAGAAGTGTAGAAATATCAGCCATCAACCTGTTTCGCTTTCTCGCCAGCAAGTCCAAGAATTTTTTTAAGTGCTGCCGGCGTTCTAGCCATCATCTTCGTGTAAACCAACAACGACTGCAATATTCAAGCTCTCACAAGCAATAAGGATTTCCAAATTTGAATCTCCAGCTGGGCAACTCGTTGATCGAAAAGCCTCAAGAAATCTGAGGTTGCCACACTAATCGCCTTTTACAGAATATAGATCCATTTATCCAAGGGTCTCTCAAGAGCTAGCCTCCCCGGTGGTCGGAATGCCCCGTTCGATCGTCAAAATGCCCCGTTCTAGGAGAAGCAACTCAACCCGAAGCGGTTCCTCAGTAGAGTCTGATGATTCCCGTGAAAACAAACCAAATCCTACCTGTGAAGATTGCGGCGGCACTGGCGCGTATCGGATGGCCATAGAAGAGGAAACCGTTGTTTCTTGCAACGTTTGCCGGGGACGGGCCTGGGTCATGTGCTGCCAAGGTCCGTCTATTTGCTGCGTATATTGCCACGGTGGAAGACCACGCCGGGTAGCGTGTGGCCGCTGCGAGGGCTCAGGCAATATATCAGTGACCAAAACCAGGTACAGGGAGGTGGAGTGCCAGTGTGGGTACTGATAGCTGGATTGTCGTAGAGAGCTGAGCCGAGCTGAGCCTTTACTACATACTTTCCCTATAACTTCTTCCCTAGAACTTCCTACATCATTCTGCATTTCGATATCTGCGGCTGGCCCGCTGGATAAGATGTGCTATTGCCATTTCCAAAGGCGAATACCAGACGTATTGGAGGGGCAATAGTACTAGTAAAGGGGGAAGAATGGAGACAAGATGTCATCGGACATTATACGGAATTGAGTTGATGGTAGTTCCTATTTTTAGGGCTCCATAGATCTGCCACTTGCAAAGAGAGCAGGACAAAACGAATTAAGACGTTGTGTTAAATTTGAGCCAGCTACGTGTGAATATTTGATAAGGTTTAGCATACCGTGGTGTAATGGATAAACTTCCAGTGGCTGGTGACAGGTCTGATTCTTACTCAGCTGATATTGACTTCATTCACCGTTTAGTGCCGATACAATTGAACTTCTCAACATGTAGCTTTTTCATACTGTTGAAATGCTCTCATAGAAACGTATTTGGCATTTATAGCGAATCCACTATAGAGAAAAGAGCAGGCTGATGAGCAAGGTAGCGGACATATGCAAGGTAAGCGGTCAGCTGCGCTCGCATACATGCTGTAGGCATGTATACTTGCATAATAGGGCTCTAGCGATTGCTGGTGATGTCAGCACCTCAGAAAAGGTTCATTGCGTTCACTTCAGCCCATTTCCAGAGAAATAACGAATCCATTCCATGGAAACGCTTATCGTACTTTGAGACAACGAATCAGACAGCAACAAGAATACTCTGTACGACTGAATTACTGAAATCTCTGAACTAATAGCTAGGATAACCGGGAGATAGTCATCACGGCTTTTGTGCAACTAACCAGCGCGACTAGCAAGGATGATGGGCCGCCAAACCTCAAGGGCTAAGCTTGGTCAAAGCTTTCTGCTCTTTAGATCTCATGTGGGGGCCCTTGGTTGATCGGATCAGGGCCCTGTCCCAAGGCATCCGCTGAATGCGACGCAGTACTTGAGCAAACTGCCGGAGATGCGATTCGGCGATGGCAAAGACGAGGAGCCACAGCATCATGGGGCACTCGGCAATGCTCGGTATTGCACTGGTTGTGCCTTTGTATGCAATTCTTGCCTCTTTCGTCATCATGGCTATTGTATTGAATACTAGAGGCATACATCTACCTGGTGAAAGACAGTAAGTGAGATGGAATACTGGCTACGTGTGTATGAATCTACGTACCTACCGAAGAGGGAAGATGCCCAATTCTAGCATCTGTTTAGGGAGGTGCGGCTTGGGTCCAACTCCTGCCAATGCTTGCACAACGTGCCTGCTTCGTTGATCTCTGCTGGTCCGCCACCTTCCTCGGTTATAGCGACGCCCCTTTGTTCTTGGCAAGTGCGAGGCTGCACCATTGCCTGTGAGTGCAGTAGCACAGCTACATTTATGTTACATGTTAAGTTTTCTTCTATCCAAAATCAACATATACCGGTATTTAACAGCACTCAGCCCAGGTGCCCTCGCTCTCTGTGGGTGTAGAGACGCCACCATTCTACTGTAGGTAAGCTCCTCCAATGCTGAGATTTCTTCGCCGCAATCTCCATATCTTGGCAAGCACGGAGGTATCACTAACCCCCTTTGAATCCCAGTCCCATAATGCGCATCCAACAAGCGTTACTCGCCATCTACTTCCCCTCCTCCATCATTCACCGCAAGTTTGCAATGTAACCGCCGCGTACTCGCTAGCCGTTCAGCGAGACGGACGTTTCGGCCTCCTTGTACTCCATACCTACCTAGGTAACTACAGCTACCGCTGCTATTGGCTGCTTGCTCAGGAGCCAAAGTAGGTACCCAGCAATTTTACAAGGCAGGGAGTCGATGCCAAGCACAATGAGAAATGAACGAGGGAGGCAGAAAAGTACGAGAGCAGAGACAGGAGCAGCACAAGGCGTGGGGGTTTCTATCGGGTTTCCCCTCCCCGCGCTGGCGCTGCTGCTTTCTCACTGGCCACGAAGAGGAAGAGAACAGCCACTAAATAATTGCGGTTGGTAGCTCAGCTTTGGGCGTTTTTAGGTATTCGTATTACCATTCCGTCAGCACAACAAAAAAAAAAAAAAAAAAAAAAAAAAGAGAAGTGACAGCAGCGAGAGCTGCAACAGCTCGAAAAGAATCGCTGTTCGGACAGAGAGAGACTCCTATCTCCTTGTGGAATTAAGAAACGCTGAAACAGCTTCCCCTCGTCCGCTTCACCCAGCCCCTCGCCCCCTGCAGGCGGACAAGATGCCTTGCGTAGCATGTATTCATGCATAGATACATGCTCGCAAAGACTCCGAGCAGTTACACCAGGGTCCAGAGCTTTTTTTTTTTACTTTTCTCAATTCCCTGCATGTCGCACATCCCAAGGCCTCGGGAATCCAGGCCTGGCCTCGGCATACGGTAGCCTTTTCCAGCCGTGGCGCACCACCCCATCTCTCCAGATCATGCTATGCTTGCATGAAAAACAAACGACTTCTTCCACTATACCTTAGTAGAAAAGAAAAAGAAAAATTCTTTCGCTTATGGCTATTATTATGTAGTACAATTTATAGCACGCGAGACACTATTGGAATTTTTCTCTCTCTCTTCTTGCCTCTTTCGGCTATCCCCGGCGACGGTCGAGTGGAAGAGCCGGAACAGACTGCAATGGTTCTTATGGAGTAACACGAGTAATATGTGGTAAGTCCGTGGAGCTTGGTACAGTAAGGACTTTCTATCTCAGGCGTATTAGTGAGCAGCTGAGAACATGCGCATGCAACCCCTGGAATATGCATCTCTTTTCTTTCCCTCCTGTCCAACATATCCATCAATGGCACCTAGTAGAAGCACAAAGCGAATTTGTATTCATAATCAAGTCCCGCAGTCTGCTGCCAACGATGATTCCGCCAAGCTGCCTCGTCACCATGTCTCATTCTAAAGTGAGACCGCTAAAATCAAAGTTAGAGACAAGAGAAAGACTCCCTAGACGTGGCCTCAGACACTGCATTTCAAGCTTAAACTGACATTCACCTGCCTTTTCCCACCAACAGCATCGCTCCGGCAGAGACATGATCTCCCCCACGTAGAGCAGGATGTGTCGGCACCGCCACCACAAGAAAAGGATCAAGGCAGCAGGTCACAGGTTTGATAGCAGTAGCACGGAGTAGATGTGTGTTGGTAGAATTTCTTGTGTGTATTGTCACTGCATATCTTGCTAAGCCAATTTGCTCCAAGATCTGCCTCTTGTAGTACAATCTTTTCTAGACTAAGTGTGTTACCCAAAATAGGCCTTACATTGGCGCTTGTTCAAAACTGTTGCATTCTTTTTTCCCAGTCAATTGGGCCAAACTGCAAGAGAAAAAAAAAACAGAGAGAAAAAAACCCAAGTCGCTCCAATCGATCCATCCATCCATACCATTTATTCCAAAAGGGTGATGCCAAGCCAAGTGTATGAGGCGCTAAAGAAAAGGCGCCAAATGCCAAGAGAGCGAACATTCCCTCTCCCTCGACTCATTTCATGCAGCTTTTTGATAGCGGCTTTGGACTTGTTTTTGGTCTGTGCCTGTGTGTGTACGTTGCCGAAAACTTTTTTTTCAAAGTATAGTAATAACGGTAGCTTCGCTCGCTCCATTCCAAATAGATAGAGATGAAATAGAAAAAAAAAAACTGATCACGCTAAATTTCCAAATGTGTTCATGTTTGATTGCCCTTCCTTGGCTGTCTCAAGGAGAAGAGGGAACATCGTGAAAGTCATCCTTGTGGTCACCATCGTGCTCACCCCAGTAGACGGGTCCCAGCTTCAGCACCCTGAAGCCGGTTGTGGAGCTCAAGCTGGACGAGGAGCGTCGCCTCTCGGGGATTTCAGCAGAGCGGCTGGAGGGCATCTGAGGATAGGAGGAAGAGGTGGCCGGCGCGAGTGAGAGGAAGGATGAGGGAGCCATCTCTGGAGCGGCGGTGACGTCGTAGAAGTCGTCCTTGTTCTGGCCAATGTGCTCGCCGTAGTAGACGGGGCTGAGCTTCAGGACTCGGAGGCCGGTTGGGGAGCTGATGGAGGCCCGTCGGGGTCTGGGTTGGCTCTCGGTGACTGAAGGCCGTCTGTCGGGTTGTGGGTAGGAAGAAGAAGTAGTGGGTGCCAGCGAGAGGAAGAAGGAAGGTCGGCGCTCAGCCAGAGCGGCACGGGCAAAGTCCATGGACATCTTGTAGAGTTTTGGGCGTATGTAGGTATAAAGCGTTTGGTGATGGAGAGGTAGATTGAGTTATGGGAGAGTCGTTCTTTGTAGGCACGGAAGAGAGCTTTCACAAGATGTGTTTTGCAGCAAGAGGAGACAGGAAATTTTGAAGTATTTATTCGAGGATAGAGGAATAAAGCAAGAAAGAAACCAACATCGATAGAACCAGGAGCGGATGGCGTGCTCTTTATGCTCGCAGAGCTCGGCACTCGTGTCACAGCAACTCGCAGCTCAAGGAGGTACGTACGTAACTCTAGACAGCCGCTACTGGCGCTAGGCCGTCAATCCCTACAAGACGGGGGACCCGCGCAAGATCGGGAGCACGGATGTCGAGAGATTGTCATGGGGATGGTATAAGCACAAGGACGGAGCTGCCGTATGTCATTGGGACGGGCTGAGACGAGACGTGGCCGAGGATCTGACGACATGGCGATTACCAACTCACTTGATAGTATTCGCCTCCCAGCCCGTTTGCCTCAGAGCCCAACTACACACTCCATCATGTGAACCTGACGCGTTCCCACCCTCTCTGGCTTTGCTGAAGCGGTGGCCCTCGCTGCCTCGCCATTGGGCCCAGGACTGTGCCTTCGCGTTGCCCGCTGCATATCAGTGAACAATGGCAGGGAAGCGGTTGGGCCATTCGCGTTGCTCTTCATGCAACTACTGATATGGCCCCCTTCCTAGCAGCGCCAATGATAGAGATCGTTCCCCCCACGCCAGCTAGGTAGTAGGTCTCATTTTTTTTTCTCTCTCTCCCGGGATGCGTTCCTCTGGATTCTGGCCCGGTTCTTTCGGCCTGGCGGTCTTCGCGGCAAAGGCAACTGGAGATAAGAAGAGCCCACGTGCGAATTTCAAACAGCCCTAGCGCTGATTGGGTTTAAAGCAAGTTGCCGTATTCAGTTTGCACAAAAGGCATAAAAACGAAAGAAAAGAGCCAGAGATTTACCGAATGACAGGGGGGCGCACCATCTTCACCTTTGTGTGAGGCGGCCACCACCGGGGAAGGTTCAAGGCGGTGCCATTCAAATGTCAAAGGATGGAGGTGCAATATCACGGAAGCCGAGCTCCACTTGATGCTCGGACGGCAGTATTGCAGAATCGCAAATCGATCCGGGGTAGGCACCGTAGTCCCGGCTGATGCTGGAGGCTTATTGGATGCCCGTCCCGGCAGCCAAAGGGAATTTTCGGAACCGCACGTCGGGAAAAACATGCCAACCCCAGCACTGCCATGTGCCTGGCCTCGGGATCCTGTGGTGGGCCAGAACAGAATGCGGGGGAGACAAGATCTGGATTGTTTTGAGATCGAGGGCATTCAGGGATATAAAAATTTTCTTCAAGGTTTGGGGTCTTGTTTTTGACGTTATATCCGTACCGGGTCATGCCACTCATCCCGATATATCTTCGTGGGACTAAGGGCTTGTTTGCATTCCGAAGCTGGCCGAGTGTGGTATCGTCGCTGCGCCTAATTGACATGTGAAGTGTCAAGATGAGAGTCTTCCAATGACAATGAGATGAAGCAAGTGCGGGTAGCACCGGTAAACTTATAATGGATGCCTTGCGGCTAAAAGCTGCCGTCAATGTCAGTGATGATCATAGTGAAGCTCAGAGCAATAGTGTTCCTTGTACCCGGTTGAACGGAGCCTGGAAGCTAGGCTTAGCTAATTAAAAGTTATGATCAGTATCTACCGTGAAATCAAGTATTCATGATAATCATGAAGAAGCAATGGACGATGGGGGCAGAGAGAAAGCAGCACAAAAAGACATATCTCTGTGTCACAGCCCACTGGCAGACTATATGGCGGCGACGAAACGATTGACCTTGTCCATGACCATGTAAGCCTCAGCCAATGCCATATAGAGCTAATGAGAGACGATAGTATAGTTCCCAAAATTTTGTAGCGGCTCATGGATGGTAGCGAATACCTTTCTCGTAAAAACTGCACCTCTCTCAGCACTGATCTTAGCCAAGAGGTAAATAGACCTACTACTTTAGCCTTTTCTCTCCGATTGTATATGGAAGACTGAAGATATCTCCAAAACTTGTAAAGGCTCATAGATGAAGTGCGCTCTCTCACCAAATCTGCAAGTCTCTCAGTATTGATCCTAGGTCAGAAGATATACAGACTCACTCGAGCTACCCCTCTCCCATTGTATATGGACGGTTGAAGATGCCTTTGCACAACGTTGCCAGCACATTTTATTCATGGCTACATTTTCTTCACATATAGCGCGGACTGTATTCTCGCAAGAATTGAAGAGCGCATGTTGAGGTCGCGTAAGGATAGCGTGTCTCTCTCTTCGAGTCTGTAATTTTCTTAGCTTTGGTCGCGGATGAAGGAAGACGTACTTAGCTGAGCAATACTCCTTCAACTCTCTAGAGCTTGTAACTATCCTCATTGAGATTTCCCCAATACAGTGTTTGTGACGACGTATTGTCTTCTCAGCCACGAATCGCATCACCTATGGGAAGCAATGGCTAGTCCACGGATATTGTTTGAGACTCTAACGAGTGTAGAGAAAAGATTGAATGAGTCCTCGTATCGTATTGAGTATTCACGATTGAACCCTCATTTCCTTCGTATGTCCCTTGCGCTCCTCGAGCCTCCCAGGCAGCCAGCTGTCCATGCCCGTAGCTGACGTCGAGTTAGCTTCGACCAATGCCAAGTTTGCATTCCATCTACTTACTGCCATGAATAGTCACTCAGAGTAGATGTGCTCCAAGATGCATTCACGTCCAACACGCATATTCATCATCAAACAAAACATCCAGTGCTTCTATCTTAAACATTCAGTGTACACCAGCTGATTTAACCGTGGCTAAAAAGAAACAATCCTTTCATCACCAACCGATAAGACATTTGGCAGAATGCCTGATAATAAAGTGCTGCCGTTGGTTATATCGAGTTTGTCAAACTTGATTTGCAACAAGATATGAGCGCACAGCAATTGACGTTATAGACTGAGCTCCCCGATCCATCGGGGGCTATCGTCAAACTCCAGAACTGAGCGGAACTTCTGATCCTTCCGTCCGGCCTTCCGAAATACGAACAAGACTATATGTAATCTACATGCCTGCATGCATGACTAGCGAGCAGCAATAGACCTTGATCGGAAAGTTATGGGTTTCGGAGAAAGTCTGAACGTCTCCATGTCATCCATCGTTCGAGAGGGGGGTGTATAAGACACCCTTCCTTCGTGAAGATACAGGTTTATCGGTCGAACTTCTGTTCGAATCTAACCAAATGAATCATTCTGTTGGTGATGAACTCGTCTAGGATGCAGATTTCACCATGCACAAGGTCATGTTCTGCGCAATTAAGTCTCTATGGTGCTTTTTGCATCGGGCCGGTCTGCCGTTCTGTCATTACTTCCTGTCTGGACTAGCTCCACGGTGGAATAGGTCCGTTCATAACGTAAGGAATATTGGCTCATTAGACCAATCCATTTATTGGCTCTCGGCATGCTAGTTCCCCTAGAATATTGGCTAGTTTGTCGTATCAATATGCTGTACTTTGCTCGCGTCTATTGACATGAGGTTGTCCCCCTGAGCCGTTTATACATCTACTCAGCTCGAAAGCCCCATTTCGGTTTAAGCTCTTCGAGCCTCAGTGGGTCGAGTTTACCGCGAGCGGTAATCGCAAGCGCTTAAATCGGGCTCTGATTGGTTCCGCCACTCGGGGCTCTAATAGCGTCGCATCGAGATGCTCGGCATGGATGGCAACCTCAACGTAGCCGCCAAAGTGTTGCGCTCATGGATGGAAAAAAATGCTCATTCCATCTGTTGGATATCATGTAGACGGGCGCCCGCGCTTCTGTAGCTGGCAATACGCGCGGTAAGCCCAGGGCCTAATACTTTTTGATTGTTGGTCGTTGGCTTTTTCGGAAGGGCATTTCTGGTCTAGTCTTGCAGCTGCTCCGGCTGATGTGGAATGGAATGGACAGCATCTGCATCTGCTCAAGACCACGGAATCAATTCCTTCCTGAAGACGTTAGAAATTGAAGCAAGCAGGGCGTCGATCTAGACATGCACTGATGACATTTTCTCTGCAGCCAAGACTATCCACCCCCTCAATATTCGATTCCCTCGCAGAAGTTCCGAGGTTGGGCACTATGTCTCCTTGATCCAGCCGTGATAGAACGGTATATGGGGGTGTGGTGATCAACACCATGACAGGAAATAGACTTCATATCAACTTTTGATCTAGCGTTGTTAGATCCTTGGTCAGTTGATACCTGATTACAAAGATGGTCAATCAGCCAGCTGTATCTCAGCAATGCCAGGCGGCTTTAGCTTGAACTTGATAGTACGTCAAGCAAGAGTGATACCTGTGTAAGAGCCATGAGTAGCTGGGCAATTGCAAGTCAAGTCAGCCATATAGAGTGGTAGCATGAGCTTAGATAAGAAAGAATAAAGCAGTTGAATAGAGATCTGATAGAGCTGCTGCTTCAAGGTATCAATGTGTTGTTGGTTGGTCCAGGGCTGCTATTAAGCCGTGCAACACCGCCTTGGCCCACGCCTCATAGAAGAATATCAGCAGATTTCAACAGAGAAATAGTCACTTGACTGCTGTGACAGGTACCAGGCTCAGGCTGTTGGAAAATTGCGTGTAGATGTTGGATCATTGTGAGCCACAAGTGAAACTAGTTGTCATGGTGCAGTCCATGACTGGCGTCATTAGAGGAGCCATATGGCCATATGCCACTTAGACAAGTGTTGGCCCGAATGGTGAGGCAATTGAATCATGACTTGCAGGTCACATTGAGAAAAGCACAAGTATTGCTATGCCATTGCACAGCTAGTATCTCTTGTAAGTGTCTAAAAGGCTTGTCGGCTGATCTGGGCTGATGGAAGGATCATCTTGCTCGGAGACGGTCTTGAATTTGGCCGCGAGGCTTCAATTGCCGAGTGCGGCAATTCTAAAGGCCGCATGAAGGGCCGCATTGACCTTTGGACGGGAAGATCTCGA